TCTGCTAGTTGGGATGCAGATGAATTGAATTGGAAGAAGGTAATGGCTGCAACGAAGGGGGAAGAAGGAACAGGTAAAGAAAAGGATCGAACAAGGCTATGGTTGTGCATGGGGAGAAACATCAGATGAGATTCAGAAGATGAAAGCTGGGAGATGACAAGCACTTATGGCCATCGGAGAATCAAATGAAACAAGCGGCTATGTGTTATCTCACAAAGACAAAGATTACTTTCTTAGTCTAGAGAGGTTTTCTGAATAGCTTTGACTCGTCTCATCATCGATGAGTCGATGATTATAGAAGGACGAGGTTGGGGTGTGTGATCTTAAAAGCCAGTCAAAAATCTAGAATTTAGGGCTAATGAAGAGTGACATAAAATGCGTGAGTTGAAAGAACCAGGTTCTGTGAACTTGACACAAGTGTCCTAGAACTTTAGGTCTGAAAATGTGAAAATGAGAAATTAGGAACTCAGTAAGAAGAAAGCTGACTCACACACATCTCACTTGGCTGGATTAAAAGATGAGTTGTACAGGAGATAAGCAGGATAGAGAGTTCTAAAAGCCAAAGACTACGGGAAGTTAACAGCATGACTAGACAAAACTGCAAATGGAATAAGCTTCTTTGCATTCTATTGCTCCAATAGAACATTCACAGCACATACAAAGAGAGGACTTGGGCTTCGCGAGCCAAAGCCTGATGGGACCCCAAACAACAGTCGTGCTCACTCCTCTGAAAACAAAATCGTGCACTGTGAGCGACTTCATTACAAAATTGAAATTAATGCACAAGAAAGGCCAGTCAAAAGAACAAACCTTTGTTCAACGAGAAGAATAGGCTCTGCCTGTGTCTAAAAGGAATTTGATTAACCCTTGCCTATAGAAAGGGACCAAACTAGTTTGGGATCCTAAGACTAACCCTGATTTTCTTGCAGGTCCAGTGAAGGGCAAGTAGCCAAATATTGGCTACATGGATAGTGGCTGTCTTCAAAAACATATAACTGGAACAAGAACCAGTTCCTTTCATCTGTAGGACTTAAAGAGGACGGTAACTGTCTTCCTTTTGAAAGATGGGACAGAACAGGTAGAGATTATTGGTGGTTGGAAAGAGTAGGCAAACAGCTTCAAAGCTTCAACTCCACTTGAGAATGTCTACTTATGATGATGGCTTAAATATAGCCTAATCAGTGCTATCACAACTTGTGTGGACAGAGGTACCTTGTTACATTTACCTCTACCAAATACGTTTTGGTGATTAATCTTACCACCGTCAACAAGATTGTTTTGCAGGGAAAAGAGTTAACAATTATTATATTGTTAGATTTGTTCACTCTCTTGGAAATGAACTCACTTACTTGAGTGTATTGGGACAATGAACACCCTTTGTGGCACAAACGACTTGGCATGGCCAAGTCTGAATCAAGCTCCAACAAATTAGTCTCCAAAGACTCTGTGATGGTACATAAACATCAAAGTTCAAGGAAGAACAAAGTTTGTGAGCCTTTGCAAGGGAAGCAGTAAGATCATCCTTTTAATAAGCCAAAAGAAAATGGTAAGCACAACCAGGACGTTGGAACTGGTTCATATGGATCTCTGTGGTCATGAGAAATGTAGCAGAGCGTGGTAAGAAATTATGCTGATGTACTTGTTGCATGATTATTCTACGGTTTACCCTCGGTGCACTATTCTTTAACAATCTAAGGTATGCAAGCCATTTGACATGTTTTACTGCCCTTTTGTTAAGAAAAAACTCAGAAACAACTAGGTAATCAACTTGCATCAATCAGGTCTGATCATGGAACTAAATTTGAAAATGCTAAGTTTGCTGAATTTTGTGATGAGCATGGTATTGATCATAATTTCTCTGCCCCTAGGACTCCTCAACAAAATGGAGTAGTTGAAAGAAAGAATAGGACCCTTGAAGATATGGCTAGGACTATGCATCTTTCTAGTAAACTTCCCCATAGCTTCTGGGCAGAGGCTGTAAACACTGCATGTTATATCATTAATAGATGCATGACTAGACCTCTTGTAGAGAAGACTCCCTATGAGTTACTTAAAGGGAGAAAACCAAATATATCCCATCTTAGGGCATTTGGATGCAAGTGCTTTGTGCACAATAATGGAAAGGACTCCCTAGGTAAGTTTGATCCCAGAAGTGATGAGGGAGTATTCTTGGGATAGCAAAGCATATAAAGTGTGCAATAAAAGAACTTTGTGTGTAGAAGAAAGTGTACATGTAGTGTTTGATGAAACTAACATTCTTTTGGAGAGACAGGAACATGAAGATGAAGCTATTGGGCTGGTAAAAGATTTGAGTGAAGTCTCAGCTCAAGCTAAAGTGGAATCAAAAGAAGGAACAGGTGATGGAACAGGTTCTTCCATCCAGGGCAACCTGATAGGGGGAACTGATCAAAGAGGAACTAAAACCAATCCCATAAAGGAAACTGTTCATGACCCTGTTCCTCAGCAACAGAACATGGGAGAAACATCAAGCAGAAATCAGCTGGTTGTGAAACCTTACAAGTATCAAAGTTCTCATCTCATTGAGAACATAATTACTGATCCAACCTCTGGAGTTAAAACTAGATCACAATTAAAGAATCTGTGTGCTTTTGATGCTTTCCTATCTCTTATTGAACCTAAAAATGTTGTTGAGGCTTTGCAGGATGCAGATTGGGTAAATGCAATGCAAGATGAACTCAATCAGTTTGAGAGAAGTCAAGTTTGGCATCTAGTTCCAAGACCCAAGGACAGATCAGTAATTGGCACAAAATGGGTCTTCAGAAACAAGCTTGATGAAGATGGAACAGTTACAAGAAACAAGGCAAGACTGGTGGTCCAAGGTTACAGCCAAGAGGAGGGTATAGATTATGATGAGACTTTTGCTCCAGTTGCAAGACTGGAGGCAATAAGACTCCTCATAGCCTTTGCAGCACACATGGAATTCACTCTTCATCAGATGGATGTCAAAAGTGCCTTCCTGAATGGCTACCTAAAAGAAGAAGTGTTTGTTAAACAACCTCCAGGGTTTGAGAGCAAGGAATATCCTGAACATGTGTACAAATTAGACAAGGCTCTCTATGGACTCAAGCAGGCTCCTAGAGCATGGTATGAACGATTGTCCAAATTCCTGCTTGAACATGGCTACAAAAGAGGTAAAATTGACAGTACTCTATTCTTGAGGGAAAAAGGTAAGGATCTTCTTGTGGTACAAATATATGTTGATGACATAATTTTTGGGGCAACCACTGACAAACTAAGTAAGGATTTTGCCAAATTAATGGGGAGTGAGTTTGAAATGAGTATGATGGGTGAGCTTAACTTTTTCTTAGGCTTACAGATCAAACAAAACTCAAATGGAACCATGATCCATCAGCAGAAATATGCAAAAAAGTTGATCAAAAAGTTTAAAATGGATGAGTCAAAGGAAATAGACACCCCCATTGCAACTGCTACTAAATTAGAGATAGATGAACCTGGTTCATCTGTTGATCAGAAGTTGTATAGGGGTATGATTGGTTCACTTTTGTATCTTACTGCCAGCAGACCTGGCATAGTTTTCAGTGTAGAGCTTTGTGCTCACTTTCAGGCTAATCCAAAGGAATCTCACTTGACTGCTGTCAAGAGGATACTGAGATATTTGAAAGGCACTACTGATCTGTGTCTTTGGTACCCTAAAGGTAGTAATTTCAATCTAGTAGGGTATGCTGATGCTGATTATGCAGGTTTCCTTATGGATAGGAAGAGCACCTCAGGTATGGCTCATTTTCTTGGTTCATGTCTTGTATCATGGGCCACTAAAAGGCAGAATTCAGTAGCCTTATCCACTGCCGAGGCTGAATATGTTGTTGCTGCCTCTTGTTGTGCTCAATTGCTGTGGATAAAACAGCAGATGATAGAATTTGGCATTGAAGTTGGTTGCATTTCTATCTTCTGTGATAACACTAGTGCTATAAGTATGACAAATAACCCTGTTCATCATAAGAGGACTAAGCACATATATGTTAGACACCACTTCTTAAGAGATAACTATGAGAAAGGATTGATCTCAATAGAATTTTGTGCTACTGATAACAAATTGCTGACATCTTCACTAAAGCACCGAGTAGAGAAAAATTTGAGAGAAACAGGTTGGAATTAGGGATGATTAAGATCACCTAATAGGACCAGGTCCAAATGCACAAGAAAAAAAAATATTAAAAGAAATGAAAAAAAATATATTTTTTTGGCTAGGAAATCTGAACTTGTGTAAATATCTAGATTAATTTCTACTCAGTTTTATACTGTAATTAGTATACTCCTGTGAAATGTGTTAATATGACTCACCGATCTCTTATAAAATTTTCTCTATTTTGGTAAATTGAGGCATGGTCAAGAGAATTCTAAATGAAGAACCTGGTTCATCAGTATGGGTTCATCTGAATGTTAAGGTATAGTTTTCTATACTCTACACAATTAGAAATATAAATATTTAAATCATGAGCAGAAGTCCTACAATTGTTCAACTCCTTAGAAAATTCTATCCGTTAGTTTTGAACCAGTTCCGTCAGCCTTAGAACTCTAAACCACAAAAATTGCCTAAAATCTAGGAAAGCCTAACCGTTCATTCAAACCTGAAATTTCAGGTTGATTAGACCTCTAATTGACCACTGCTAAAGCTGCCGTTATACATTAAATGTGTATTTCTCTTTAAATACACATCATTACCTCCTGCCATCTTCATAATCCCAAACCGTCAAAAATCCCTCTTCACTTTCACTTGCTTTCTTCTCCAAAATTCTAACTCACCAATTCTCTCAAGAAACCAGCGATCATGACAAACCCACAAGACAATCCTGGAACTCCTCCACCACCCACTCCCTCTAATTCATCTACCTCTCCTCCACCTAGCACATCTCCCAAACCCAGGCTGAGAAGGGTAAAAATGCTTGCTCGGAAAACAGTAGCGTCTGGGGCTCTCTCAAAGAAATTAAATGAGAAATTAAAGGCAAGCCAGGTCCAAGACTCTGACTCCAACTCTGATTCTGAGTCATACAAATCGGCTAGTGAGGGGGGAAGGACTTGGGCCTTCTGACTTTGAGAAGACTCAAGAATTCCCTTCTAAGGTAAGTTCTTCTTTGACTAAAAATCTAAAAACTAGCTTTGTTCTGGTTGGGCCTATAAGGGATGTAGAATTACCTGAGTTACGAAGGAGTGGAGGTAACAAGAAATCTGAGAAAGAAAAAGAGAGAGAGGGTGCATGTGGTGAAGAGAGGGGAAATGGGAAAAGAGTGGTTGATCATTCACCCACTGCTGGTTTGTCTGTGCCTGCTATCTGTGGGGTTGAACAAGAAAATGTAGAAGAGAGTGGCAAGAAGTCAGGGGGAAGTGGTTCTGGTGAAGCTGCTGAAGGGTTAGTTAATCTAAGCGCACAAGGAGATGAACCTGGTTCATCAACTGAAGAGACCCTAGCAGACTTGTTGAAAAAGGCTGGGGAAAGTTATGATCAAAAGAAAAGAAGAACTTCCACACCAAAAGCCTCCAGTGATCCTAAACCCTCTAAAAAAAGAAAGGCTTCATCCCCAACAACTACTGAAACTTCCTTGCCTAAGGGAAGAGCCACAAGAAGCAGGGTGAAACAGAGTGAGAGTGATCTACAAAAGGCTCTAGCTGAGAGTAAGAAGAAAAGGATGTCTAAAGGAAAAGGGAAGGTGGCAGAGTCCTCAGAGGCTGTGGAAGTTGAGGAGATGGAACAGGTCCATCAGGAGGAAGTTCCAACAGTGTAGGTTCAGACCCCCAAGCCCAAAAAGCCCAAGACTTCTTCCAAGAAGTCTTCCTCTGTGTCTGAGGCTGCTGAACCTTCATTAGCCAAGAGGACAAAGTCTGCAGTGAAAAGTAAACAAGTACGAATTTCTGAAGATGAGGAATGGACTGGAGAAGAAGAAGAAGATGAGTCTGATGGTGAACAAGACAAGCTTGCCATCTTTGGCAAAAGAAAAATTTTGAAGGGTAGATTGCTGAAAGACCTGGTGGAACCAGGAATAATGAGACTGGTGGATGCCTTAGCTGCTCAGGGGTGGAAGGACATGGTCGTTCAGATGGATGGAAGGCTAGCCAAGAATGAGATCATTGAGTTCATGGCAAATGCAGAGGTTAAGGATGGCAAGGTTAGCAGCTTGGTGAAAGGAGTTCAAGTGACCTTTGATGCAGAAAAACTGGGAGAGATCCTTGACATACCCTCTGAAGGGTTTGATGACTATACAAGGCAAAGGTGGCCTTGTCTGGACTCCCTTCCTACTGCCCTTAAAATTACCAGGAGGTTCTGTGATGCTGAGGATGTGAATGATGCTAGGGCTGTTCAGAAAAGTGAAATGAGGCCACAACACAAAGTCTTGTTTGATTAGTCAACAAGTGCCTATTGCCCAGACAGGAGAGAAGGCATATTGCAAATTATATGGACCTAGTTCTTATGGAGTGTCTGGAAAGTGGAAGGCAAATTAATTGGCCTGCATTCATCATCAAGCTGCTGGACAGGGTCATCAATGGATCCAAGGCTCATGCTACCCCCTATGGCTTTATTCTGACTGCGATTCTGGATAGGTGCAATGTGCGTCTGAAGAAATGGGAAATGGCCTCAAGCAAGGATCACTTTGGCATTAATACTCTGATTGCTTGTGACTAATTAGTCAATGCCATCCCAAATGGACCTGGTTCATCCAAGAAGACTCCTATCAACAGTAAAGTCAGGGCTCTAGTTTAGGAATGTAAAGCCAAGGATGCTGAGATAGCTAGGCTCAAGGCTCGTGTGGCAGAGGTGGAATCTGAGAGGGATGCCCTCAGAACTGAGCTTACCAAGGAAAAGGAGAAGAATGATGGAATTCTTCATACTATGCTGAATCTTCTCCAAGCCCAAAACCAACCCTCTAGCTCCCCCAGGCCTTAGGAATTCTAGCCTTTGTCTCCTGAATCTATCTAGTACCTTCAGTGACCCGGATTAGGGATTTTTCTATTTTTTTGCTCATGTTTTAAATGTTTTTTGCTTTCTGGTTGTGGATTGTGGTAGCAACATATCTTCTATCAATGATATCTACTGTTTTTGCTCTTGTTCAATGTTAATCTTTCCTTGATAGTTTAAATATGTTTGCTTGATTACTGATGATTAAACCATGATTGCACTTGCAGTTACCCCAGTGGCCATAAGTACTTATTAAAATCTGGGACTCACACTTTGTATGCAACTTTTCGATGATGCCAAAAGGGGGAAGAGATATTGTGCTTTACACATTCTGAATAAGTGATATTTATAACCTAATTAACCTGGTCCTTGATTGATGGTTAAGCTGAGTTCTCACAGGATCCAAGTATGTAAAAAGCACATAGTTTTGTCATCATCAAAAAGGGGAAATTTGTTGGCCCAAGAACAGGTGAAGTTTTGAAGATTGACAAAAGAACTCAGACATGGACCAGGTCCATCTTGTGAAGCACAGTCATGATCAACCTGTACATGTGAGATGCACGTGAAGGAGATAAATCTAACTGATCAAGAAGCAATATCTCCTGATCTGATTGAAAAGGTTGCATATTGGATAAGGAGAGAAAGACTCCTTACATGAAGAGAACACAGTTTAGGAAGGAGATAGTGTTAGACTTTGAGATCACCTTGAACTCTTCTACGATAGAAGAGTAGCATTTGAATCCCAGTCAATCTCTGATTACTAACCTATTAAATGTCAGTGATGTTCTCTTTTACAAGTAATGCACATAAGCAGAAGTTAAACTTAAATTGAGGGCAAAAGAGCAAGGCGATTTCGCAAGCAATTTATGTGTGATTCGAGTGTGCAATCCTGAAGCTACTTAAACGAGATAGAAGAACCAGTTCCAAGTGTCTATCTTTTATTCTAGTTCAATTGTAGTAGGTATTTTTACTTTGTACCTTTCAGCTTTCATAGAAGCAATTATGAGGTACCTAGAGTGTTCAAGTTAGAGTTAACTTGAAGCTGTCGCAATAGTTGAGGCTGCGTGCCACAACGGGATTAGAGTTAATCCTTAGGTTTACAAAGAGTTTTGTAAATGCTGTTTTGGCTCGGTGATTTTAGTGGAAGTTTGGAAAAATATTACTGAGTAGTAGGTCGTGGTTTTTTCACCTTTTGAGCTAGGTGTTTTCCACGTAAAAATCTCTGTGTTCTTTATTTTCTTTATTTATTATTCAGCAAACAGTAATACTTGGAACATATAGAAGAACTAGGTCCTTCTATAGTTCAGTTAAGCGAACCCCCCCCCCCCCCTTTTGTGTGGTATTGACGTTTAAAACATCACTATCGAACACTTCCACCCACATATCAATCACCTCCACCCACATACCAAGAACCACCACCTACATATCAGCCATCATCTCCCAGATATTCCCAACCAGCCACTGCCTATCATACCTATAATTCCCAATCGTCTTATTTCCAATCACCTCCAACTTGCCAAAATTATCCAAGACCACGACCTAGTTTCGACCGCAAGCCACCCAGACAATACACTGCTATTGCTGAACCCATCGACCAGTTGTATGAAAGGCTGAAAGCCGCAGGTTACGTCACTCTTGTTCCTGCTGTAGCATTAGAGAATCCATCCCAACGGGTCAATCCTAACGAAACTTGTGCGTACCATTCCGGTATGAAAGGGCACACCACTGACGAGTGCCGAGCATTGAAAGATAAGATCCAGACGCTGATTGACAACAAGGTCATACAGGCAAAGGAAGCCATACCCAATGTTCGCAACAACCCTCTCCCTGATCATAGAGGTGGTGCGATACATGTGATAGAGACGAACGAAGAGTGGGATCCTGAGGGGTTGATTGGGCTTATTTGGGAAGGTGATGACTTTAAACCCTCAGTCACACTTACTCCTATTGTAGTACAGACTCAGTTGCCAATCGAGGTTGAGGTAGCCACATCAGTTCCATATGAGGTAGAGGTGGCTCCACCCGCGGCCACCCCTGTTCTGTTTGAAGTAGAAGTGGTCGCACCTTTTACAGTGATAGTATCAACCACACCTCTTTTCAATTCAAAAGCAATACCTTGGGATTATGTTGCCGATGCTAGGCGAAAAGGAAAGGCAAAGATGGAGGAATCCGATGCCGCACAAGGAATGACTAGGACCGGAAGAGTCTATACACCTGAATACTTGGGAGGACCAAGTAAGGATGCCACTGCCAAGCAGCCTGTCATTGAAACAGGGCCAGATGACCTTTGGAGGAAAGTACAAGCAAAGGAGTATTCCATCATTGATCATTTNCCAATGCCAAGTAGCCTGTCATTGAAACAGGGCCAGATGACCTTTGGAGGAAAGTACAAGCAAAGGAGTATTCCATCATTGATCATTTAAACAAAACCCCAGCTCAGATATCCATCCTGTCATTGTTGCAAAATTCAGAAGAACATAAGAACGCTTTGATGAAGGTGTTGAGCGAAGCTTATGTGCCCAATAATATCACAAGCGGAGAAATGGCTAACATGGTGGGACAGGTGTTGGAAAGTCACAAAATCACTTTCACGAGGATGAGTTGCCGCCTGAAGATTTGAATCACAACAGGGCATTGCACATTACAGTGCAATGCGAAGACTACTTCATTACCAGGGTCCTGATTGATGGAGGATCCAGTCTCAATATTTGCCCATTGAGCCCCCTGAAGAGGTTGGGCAAAGGCCTATACGAGATACGAGAAGGGACCATGAACGTGAAGGCTTTTGATGGGTCTCAAAGAGCTACCATCGGAGAAATTAATCTCTGTCTGCAAATGAGGCCTACGTGGTTCGATGTCGAGTTTCAGGTGCTGGACATATCTGCATCCTACAATCTGCTGTTAGGACGACCATGGATACACGCCGCTGGGGCTGTGGCATCAACCTTGCATCAGGCAGTAAAGTTTGAATGGAACCATCAGGAGGTGATCATTCACGGGGACGGGAGTAACCCCATTTACACCAGCCAAACCATCCCGGTTATTGAAAACAGAAGAAGGCTAGGAGGAGAAATCTATCATCACATTGAACGTGTCAACGCCGTTGAGAAAGACAAATGGTGGAGTAGTAAAATAGAAAGCATACTGGCATGGTCTGGGTATGAACCCGGTAAAGGGCTGGGGAAGAACCTCCAAGGTATTACTAAACCGATACAACTGAAGGGTCATGGCACTACCTTTGGGCTCGAATATCAGTACACATGGCAAGAGTATAATGATTGGTCACCTCCATGGCGCAGAACATATTACCCTCTCGAGCAACCGGTGCCACATCTGGATCAAGCTTTTCACCAAGCTGACACAATATGGGGAACTACAGAAGAACAGGCCTTAGCTGGGCTAGAGAATCTGTTCTTGGAGGACGAAGGCATGGACTGCAGTGCAATAATTGAGGAGGAGGAGGAAGAAGGCCTCATTATTCAGACTGTGGAGAAGGGAGCTGTTCTCAGGAACTGGACCGCCACACCATCCCGGGCCCGCCGAGTCCCTGGGTAGCTTGGCAGATTTTATTTCTATAGCCATTCTAGGCATTTAAGATTTTCTGTAACTTTATTTTAAAGACTTATTTGTTTCAAAATAAATGCTCGATTCATCGAGTCATACCTGTCTGGATGTTTTTCAGTTTTAATCAAATGCATGGCTCTTTATTATTCATTACTATTATCTACACTTTTTCTTTCTACAGCGTTATTATTACTTTTCCTGATGAACAGGTGACTGTGACATGTAATGAGGCAACGCAATATGAGGATAGTGATGAAGAAGACGAGA